GACAAGAATATTCTTCGTTCAAATACTAGTCTTTTAATATGACGGGGATCTTTAAACAATTTAAAATTAGTAAAATATAGTTTCATCATACAGTTTAGTATGGAATTGATTAAAAATATGACGGTACATTCGATTACAGATGATCATGCAACACTTAAATGACGTTGGTGAAAAAAGGAATCAGCTAAGACAAATACGAAAATGAATGTTTGAATACGTATATTTTGTACACTCGTTGATTGGAACACAAAATCAGAGAATCGCAGCGATTAAAGCGAAGAAGAGAGAACGAAGCGAAACGAAATGATTCGCTGTGGAAAAGGCGTGTGAGCCAATTCACTTTAAACAAATGTGAATTGATATTTATAGTCACATAAAAATAAGTTATAAACATGTGATTAGTAGGACAAGATGTATACACACATGCTCTTGTAGTGTCTGTTATAATGTTAACCCCATATACCTTATTCTAGCTTTCGGATAGCTCATTCTATTCATTCTACTCGAGTCACATTCCGACTTTGTTATTTATTCGTTTATTAATCTTGACTGTTTTTATATGAGCGTGGTAGGTGTGTGTACACTTCTTATCCTATTACTCATCACATGTATGTAACTTACTTTTATGTAACTATAAATATTGATTAACGCTTGTTTAAATGAGAGTTGGCTTACCTGACATCTCCACTGAGCGTCGTTTCTATTCTCTCTATTCCATTCGCTTCATATACAAAATATATGTATTCACAAATCCATTCTCGTTATTTGACTCATCTAAACCCGTTATTGACTAATGCGATTAAAGTCGATGATTATATAAGAGGATAGGTGATAACAAACATTCATTCATTCTAAATTGGAGTCAGAACTCGGGTCACTAAAGTAGAGAGCCCTTTCGACAACATCGCCCGATCTATATGACGACAAAATAAAGGGCCCCACAACATCATGCAGATGAAGTTTTTGTTCAACCTTTCATCGTTGTCAATTATGTCTTATAGTAGAGTCCGATCACTGACTCATCTGAACAGTGGTCTTACAATGCCACTGAGTATTACAATCAACCTGACATTATCTATGTGATTCTATAATCAGGTGCATAAAAGTATATCATAGCAAATAACTAATAATTTTTTATCAGAATAATAATTTCACCACTGATTTCATTGATAAGAATAACAGTGATGTAGGAATTCATTTATTATATCCTTCGTAAAGATTCGTACCAGCTGTAATCAGTGGAGTTCAACTGTGTCTATTTTAAGGCAGTTACTCATTGAAGACAATGGTGGAAGGTCACACAACATCATGGATTGGTTGAAGTTAGATATTAACAACATTAGATATCAGCTCGATGATCTAGAGGCTAAGTGTTAACAAATGAAACCGGAGGTACTGGATTTGAATCCTACGGGGCGAGATCGTGGATGTGCAAGACAGTAGAACTGTCTTGACATTTGTATTGAACATTATGATATTAATGTTGGATTGTGGATAGTTGTTTTGAGTTCCAGATATTCTTCTTTTGTAGATATGCCGCTTTTTTTTATTCGACCCTCCACATCTGCATCACATCCACCGTGTTCATCAACTCCGCTGGAGCCCCTCTGAGGCTACTGCCGGTCCCAAGCTCGGATAAAGGAGGAGGGTTGGACATGGGGTAAGCGACTCCATCCCGTTGAAAACTAACTCGCTAAAGAAACGCGAACCAGAAAAAATTATTATTCAAACTATTGTATGACATGGTAACTGATAATTTTTCATACAAATTGATCTTTGTCACTACAATGTGGCTGGTATTATTAATAACAAGATCAAAGTTCTTCAACCTTATGAAGTATCAATTTATCGAATGATCAGTATCTTTATTTTTACACAAACACTTACCATAATGAATTTTTCAAACTTTAAAGTTGATTTAGTTTCATAGTACACTTAGTTAAATCACAAATGTACTCTCTCTCCCTCACACACACGCACACAAAATTGACTTGATTCACTATTGTAGCTGTAAATTAATCCCTGAAATAAATAACTCTGTATGTCCATGACATTTGATGCTGACCGTATTAGTTATATTAGACTCACAGCTGAAAGCATTCGTTCACACGCCCACACCAAATCACGAGTGATTACACTGTGCTACTCATCTCTTTTAACTATTAACCAATTTAGACCAAACATTCCTCGATATACTGATAGCCTTTCAAATATATCTTTGAACTGTTTCATTCCTGACTTCTGATTTGATTGGGTTGATATATTTTTTTGTTACTGTTTAAGGTGTTATCAAACTCTGAATGCTTGTACCATCTTTACTATCAATAATTAGCTGATTTTTACCATATCGACATTTCTAGTGAAGATTTATAAGGTTTTGCTAGGTTTGAGGCTATCACTAGTTTACTTAATCTGCAAACGGGAACAAGACTCGATGACCAAAGATCAGTAAGCTAGCTATTGATGCGTCCCAGCCTCGCTAACTAGAGGGAGAAGTTCAAGCTTGAAATGCGAAGTATATTCTGCAAATCAGCCAGAAACGAGCGATAACAACAAATACAATTCAAAACGTATATATACAGTGCAAAACCGTCCTTGGGGAGAGTTACCAAATAGCATACTAAAAGACGCAATGGACCAATAACATTTAAGATAGTTCCCAGTGGGAAATACGACATGAATGTGAGAATAGCGCGTTTGGCGCGAAAACAAAGAAATTCAAAATTTCTAAATAAAATTACAAAATTAGGTCCTTTCCCAAGTGAGTTCTGGGGATCTAACGTCCAAAGCATCTTTACATAAAACTAACACTTAAAGGCAATTTGTAGTTAAGCATCCACAGAAATCTTTATTTAAATCTAACTGAATTAAAATCGATCAAAAGTTTAAATTCACTTGGCGTTTTTTTTACTTGTATCTTCTGATTGTTATTTAGGACTGCAATTGATCAGTCTCTCTTTTAGTGGCATATGTGCATCCTGTACGGATTGCCTCGATATTGCCTTAATTCACAAGCTTTTTAAGCAAAGATGAACAGTGGTTAGCAGTAGAATCCAGTTTGACACGCGTTCTGTCCTATTTGGGACTTGTCAATTGGATTTACCTGCATCTCAGAGCTGATGTTCATTCCCGGACTCGAACCCAATACCGTTCGTTTCAAACGCCATCACGTTATCCACATAACTACTGAGTTCTGATAGCCACCAGCTTGTGCAATGGGGTGAAGTTTAAATTCACTTGGTACTATTTACTTGAATCTTCCTATTGATCCAGCTAACGAGTCCCAAATAGGACGTAACACGCGTCAAACTGGATTCCACTACTAACCACTATCGATCTTTGAGATCAGAAGTTGTTGGTGAAATACATCGATGACGATTGGAATCTGAAATTATTTCAAATAATTTGAATACCTTTTGATATTTATGAAATTCGATATAAAAATCAACCCGAATGATCATAATCCTTATTTCACTCAAAAGATTACTCATGAAACCAATTAGTATAGAATAGTCAAACCTGAAACATTTAAAAGATTATTGAATCAAGCGGTTTCCTTCAACGTTATATATAAAGTCATCAAAGTCCATATTAAGAACTTTCGTCTAGGTCAGTTAGCTACAACGTAGAATCAGGCACATAGATGCATCGGTTCAAGTTGCCACACCTCATTAGAACAACAAGATAAACACTGGATCTATAGAAGTAGTTAATTCAGTGGTGGTCATTGATAAAAAAAGGGTTGCATATACGGATATAGTACAGGAAGAAAGAAAGATATGAAGCGATTTTAATCTCTTAGTTTAAGGGAAGACAGAGAGTGCACACGCCGGCGCCATTGTGATCGATTCTCAACTATGTCCTCTGTTGGTTACGATAGTCACACGGACCCCAACCAAGTAGTCTGCATCTACCAACATGGGTCAGACTAGAAGTTAATGGCTTCAAGCATTGATGCCGCATTTTGGTTTGGCCGCCCCTAACTTCCAACTATCCCCAACACTGGTCAGTATTGCGCATCGTGGTAATCCTTGTTATAACTGAAAAAGCATTATTATCTTACATTTTAGGTGTCATTACCAAGATTTGAGTTGATAATTTCGAATAAACTGAGTATTCGTTAGATTGTTTTAAATAAACTAATATATTTGTAGATATCTCAATGAGTTAAAAAATTAGATTTTCTGACGTTTCGTAACTTAATGTAAGCCCTTTTCTTCAGAGAATAATAATAACCAAATCTTAACAGAATGTATAGAATGGATGTGAATGTGATATGATTTTAGAATGTATTGACATATCTAATGAAATTTCATCTTATCCTTATGTTTGCTTCAGTTAACTTCATTTAGTAAATCATATGAACCCATTATAAATTTTTTTGATTGATATCATGAAATGATTGATATTTGACCACAATTGAAGCACTGGACGGCCGTTTTGTCCTATTTTGGGACTCCTCAGAAGTGCTCATCCACGATCCCGCTCGCGCGTGAACGCTTAACATCTAGATCACTGAATCAGCGTCAAACGGTGTTAGTGTCTCACATCAACCAATCCACAAGATTTCTCGACCATCATCCATTTCACTGAGGTAGATACTTGTCTCTACCCGACACGGATTAGTTCCACTGATGACGGCTTCTCACTAAAACTCCGAGAATTCCCTCACGAAACTAGTCATTGGTGAGAACATGGAAAATGGTCGCCCAATTTTGTGGATTGATTCAAACTACACACTAACACCATCGGATGCCGGCTCAGCGGTTGGCTCGCGAGACTGAAGGCCCTGGATTCGAATCCCTCCTACAGGATCGTGGACACGCACTACTGAGGAGTCCCACAATGGGACGAGACAGCCATACAGTGCTTCCAGGTTTTTTATTGTTGATCAATTCATGATCTCAATCCAAAACTTAATAATCTCCACAACCCTATACTGACCATTGTAAATTATTGTTTCATATCCATTTAACTACTTCAATTTAAACAATAACAAATGAAACATAATGAATGTTTATTTTTATTTAAAATAATAATGTAATACATAGATTACAATATTGGGAAACTGGCATTTGTTGCAATACCACACATATTATGTTTATTCCTCCTTAATTTAATATATCCATTCATTCCCCATTTATCACTCCAACTATTTTTAATAAGCCAATAATCTTTATTATGTTCTGTACCATAACCAATAACTAATACAGCATGATTGAGTAAAGATGATGAACAATATTTTGATTCATATATTCCACTTCTAAAATGTAAAAGATAACAAATTATAGTTTTGATATATGAATGAACTAAGTCTATTTATTGTATGATTAAAGTTTTATAATAGGCTTACTCATTTCTTGAATAGAATTGATTTCTCAAGGTTTTATCCCGTACTTCTATATGTTTACTTGATATACATATTCTATGTGTTTCAAGTTGGAAGGTAGCAGTTATCGTTGAATTTCATCAGTGAAGATGTGTTTTATTTAAAGAAAAAACTATCCAATGTCTAGAGTTTTCATCAATGCAAGGATTGACAAAGCAAGGGCCGAATTCTTACAATTGAAGAATATATGGAACTCAAAACAACTGTTTCTCAACCAATATCAAAGTCAGGATCTTTAATATGAACGTCAAGACGGTTCCACTATACGGGGCTGGAACCTTTAGAACTACAACAACCACCATCAAGAAGGTTCAAGTATTCATAAATAGTTGTCTACTCAAGATACTCAACATCCATTGGTCGGATACCATCAGCAACAGCCTTTTGTGGGAGAAGACAAACCAGTTTCCAGCTGAAGAGGAAATTAGGAAAAGACGATGGAAATGGATAGGACATACATTACGCAAATCATCAATCTGTATCACGAGGCAAGCACTAAGTTGGAATCCTGAAGGGAAGTGTAAAAGAGGAAGGCCAAAGAACACATTGCGTCGGATAATAGAAGCAGATATGAAAAGGATGAATAGGAACTGGAAGGAGCTGGAAAGGATTGCTCAGGACAGGGTAGAATGGCGAGCATTGCTGGGCGGCTTATGCTTCTATACGAGAAGTAACAGGCATAAGTAAAGTAGAGTTTTCATCAAGTAAAAAATCCTGCGAAATATTTCTAGCAAAACATGATATAACATCAATCAATTTATGTACTTAATATATTCATAGTATTTTAGTGTATATGAGCATCATTATAGATAGACAACAAGAAGATTACATTGTGAGTAACTTCTGAAACCTTTTAATGGACTAATATTATCCATATATTCGTATGGTATAACTATGGTATAACTATTCAGTAATTAGATTATGTATATCTATATTCTTCTTATTATAAGCTTCATGTTAACGTGTAGACTATTATGATTCGATTTACTATTCTTAAATTATACTCAGTTTATTGACTACAGTTTCACCACAACCACTCCCACAGCCACTTTTTGATTTGATCTTGTACAAACGTTATTTCCTATTTGATGGTGTGATGTAGTGTGTTTGGGCAGTATATAAACCGTAAATATCGTCATTTCATTCTATTCGTGTGTGGGCTGTGATACTGGCCGAGTGCCCAGACCGAAGCAGGTAGTTTTATTAGGGGACCACACTGGGAGCCTTTGACCTAAACGTCTGATCCACAAGGCAGTGGATCATCGTGAGGAGATGCAGTCCTATGGTAACCGGTGACCAACAATTGATTCATACGCCATTTGTTCCCTCAGGATACTGGAGCCCATGTGCACCATTAGTTTGGAACCCGGTTAAAGCGCCGAACATTCGCTTATCATCCTCTCATTTTCATAAACAACACCCCTCCCACGAGAAGGCAGTGAATAGAACTTACCTGGCAGAGGTTGTATATGCGTGGCCGTGTATGAAAGCATTTCGAGAGGGAAGGCAGGCCCTCCCCATACCCGGCCATACCAGGGCATTTAGGTGCGGTATATATAAAACCAAGTATATTTGAAATGAATGATTCGTATAGTAGAAGCTTTTGCTGGTATTTTTGGACTCAACTAGGCAGGTTAGGAGAACAATAAGGGATCAATACGAACAATAAACTGCACATACCGATCGAGCATTATTGGTGGATCTGATGCAGATGTGAAGGCGTGGATCGGAAAAGCAAGAGCAGCACATCTGCAACTGAAGAATATCTAGAACTCAAAACAATTGTCAACCAACACCAAGGTCAGAATTTTCAATACAAATGTCAAGACAGTTCTACTGTATGGGGCGGAAACTTGGAGAACTACGAAAGCCATCATCCAGAAGATACAGGTGTTTATTAATAGTTGTCTACACAAAATACTTCGGATCCATTGGCCAGATACTATCAGCAACAACCAACTGTGGGAGAGGACAAACCGGATTGCAGCGTAGGAAGAAATCAGGAAGAAGCGTTGGAAGTGGATAGGACACACATTGAGGAAAGCACCCATATGCGTAGCAAGGCAAGTCCTTACATGGAATCCTCAAGACCAAATGAGGAGAAGAGGAAGACCAAAGAACACATTATGCCGAGAAATGGATACAAACATGAGAAAAATGAACGAAAACTGGATATAACTAGAAAGCAAGTCAAAGTGAAACAGAGTAGATTGGAGAATGCTGGTCGGAGGCCTATACTCCATTAGGAGTAACAGGCGTAAGTAAGTAAGTGATAATACTAAGATTTTTGTAAGTTATATTCTAAATTGATGAATAAATCACATGGTAACTAATTATTACTTCAATTACATTTCAAATATTTCATAAAATAAATTCATATATCATAACTTACTTATATAATACAAAATCAAATGATGCATCTATAGCAACTGATATTGGTCCATAGTGATAAACTGCTTTTTGTAATATTTTTTCATTTTTTGTTGGTAAATCAATAAATTTTTTTATTTTTATAATCCCTTTTGATAAATGAAAATGACATGATGATTTCTATTCAATAAAAAAAAACATTTTTTTTTAAATTTTAAAAATCATTAAAAAAAAAACAAACTTACTACACCTTTATATGGATAATCAAATTCAGATTCAATTGGATATTTTTTTAAATAATTAAATGATTGATCCATTGTACCACCATGACAACCATGATTACCATATAAATAACTACAATCAATTAATTGTTGTTCAGATAAACTTATTGATTTTTTATATATTTTCGCAAATTGACCTTCAATTGATCCAGTTGTTGAAAATGCCCAACATGATCCACACATACCCTTTTTTTTTTTAAAAAAAAAATTGTTTTCATAATTTATTATTAACTAACTTGATCTTTAACTGGTGTCACTAATCCATAATCACGCCAATCCCATTTTAATGGGATATATGATATATGAGATAATAATGTTAATTCTTCATTATTATCATTCCATAATAATGGATGATTATTGATAAATCTATGAGGAAATAAGATGGTTTTTAATTCATTCCAATTCATATCACAAAATTGATTTAAACCCATGGTATAACTTTCTAAACCTAAATCATAACGTAGATTATGTTGATGAATTTTTGTCACATAGTTCATAAAGATTAATTTTCTTTTTATTTCATCATTAATTGAATAAGTTTTATTATATTTGAATTTCCATAGTTTCCATATCTCATCATATTGACTATTCAATTGTTGTGCAATAGTAACAGTAAGAATAATATTCAATAATAGAAATACTTTCATTGTTCTTATTCAATAAGGTATAATAGAAAAACGAATATGATTATATATATATATATATATATATATATATATATATATATATATATATATATATATATATATATATATATATATATATATATATATGATGATTATGTAATGACCTTTATTCAGATAATTGAATATGTAATGATACTTTGAAAATCCACTTGAATATATGTAAAGTCGTTTTTCATGTAGATTGTGTACCCTTTGTGATTGTACAAATGATTATTGTTTTAATATGATGATATATATATATGAGATATATTGGGTTATATAAAATGATACTGTTAAATTGAATTGTATTACCACTTGATTGATCACTGGGTTGTGATGAATCAATTGTGATTACATCTCAGTCCTACCACACAGTGATCGCGACCCGGATAGCCCAGTGGTAACGTCTCTGAGTCTGAAACTGGGTGACATGATATCGAATCCGCCAAGGAGCACCAGTTCCCTCGAAGATTACAGATACACCTTGCTGAAGAGTGTCAAGTAGCACGAAATTCGAGTCTAGGGTTTCCTGTTGACTACCTCCAACCACCATTTAATCTGAATTGTATTAAATATTTAAATAACTCCAAGTGTAGTTCTTTTACAGTTACTGTCAGTCCCAAACCCGGGTAAAAGAGAAGGATTGGGCATAGGGGTTAGCGACCACATCCTGTAGAAAGCTAACTCGCTAAAAAAACGCTAACCAGTAAATATTTAAATATTTAGATTGTTCTTCTGGTTATAAATGTGTCGATTGAAATGAATTGGTAACGGAAGGGGTAGAATTCGTTTTGTTATATTTTCTGTAATAGGAATTGTTGGTATGTGTTCTCTGAGATGGATGGTTTTGTCGTGAAGCTTTCATTGTTCTTCTGAATGACATCATCAAAACAAACTCTAAATAGGAGTGAAGTTGTCAGTATAGGGTTATGGAGATTATTGAGTTTTTTGATTCAGATCATGAATCGATTGATGTTAGATCACCATTGAAAACCTGTAAGCACTGAGAAGCCGTTTCGTCCTATTGTGGGACTCTTCATTGGTGCGCATCCATGATCCCGATTGCAGGATTCGAACCCAGGGCCTTCAGTCTCGAGTGTGGACGCTCAACTTCGTTTTATTATCAGAAGAACAGTTTTACTGATTGAAAGAGCATGAATTTATGTAGGAAAGTGTTTGTTAACTGAAAACGAATTTTTCTAACGAATTGGTCAAAGGTCATAATATTCTAGAAATTGACAAGAAACAATGATTTTCCTTAGTCATTCCTGGCATTTTCCGAAAACTTAGTGAACGATGAATTATTCCAATTCAAAGAAGTACTTATGATGTGGGGCCCTTTATTTTGACATCAATTAGATCGGACAATGTTATCAACGGGTTTGCCACTTTAGTGGCCAAGGATCTGACTCCAATCGGATCGTATGATTGATCGTTATTAAGATATACCTGTCGATATATATAGGATTGGCGATATATATATATATATATATATATATATATATATATATATATATCGCCAATCCTTGTATATAATTATCGACTTAGATTGCGTTAATGACTAACGGAATTAAATAAATCAAATACGAGAACGGATTTCGAATATGTATATTTCATGCACACATTTATTTGAACAGGCAATCAAGGAATGAAGTGAAGGGAAGAGAGCAAAGCGAAACGACGTGTAGTGGAGAATGCGCGTACGCTAACTTTATTTAATAAATCGTCAGTCGATATTAATAACCACGCAAAAATAAGCTACAGACATGTGGTGAGTAGGATAAGGAGTGCATACATACATACGCTCATATAAAAGCAGTCAAGGTTGATAAGTGAATAATAAACAACAAGACTCAAGAAGAGTTGATAAATTGGTTTTTTTTGTGAAGCTATGTGAGGTCAACATACTAACCAACATTACATGCTCCCTAAAAGTAGATATCCATTCAGCTTCATTTAGCATAATCCTCAATTCAAAACTACAATTTGAAATCACACATGTACTTCAAAAGAAAACTGATTTCATGAAGACAGTGCAATAGTGCAACAGAAATTTTAAAACTTCGACTTCTGAATTCTTTATGATATACATTGTATGTCATTGTGTCATATTGTCCTCTACAACTAGTCTATCATTGATAGATATGTAGGAGATGAAATTCAATTTTGGGTTAAACCGTTGTAAGTCAATGAGTTTCCTTGGAGTTATGGAGTAGTTTAATACGAACACCTAAACTCAATACTTTCTACATGCATCTCGAAGAAGCAAGTCAAACAATCAATATATGAATACACAAACTGTTGGAGTGATCCAGAAAATTGCTTGCAAAAGACAAGCAAGCATCAGGAATCACTAAGAAGCGTTTCGTCCAATCAGCGTTCACTTGAAGTTTTTGCCAAAAATGTCAAGGAAGCGAAATGTTACATGTAGAGGTTGCTACACTGCTACTATGTTTAGTAGCATTCTAGAATCTTCGAGCAACCCGAGGACATCTAAAAATATTATAAAAACCCTATATTTTCTGTGTTGAAATGAACCTTGGAGTAAACTACTTCTCGCATACTTTGAGTCTTCTCTCTCTTGTTCAGGTCGCTTCATAATTCTAGCTTGTGAGTTACAGAATAGCTTAGGAGACGAATATAGCGTTCAGTCCGCAAGACATATCACGAAAATCTCATTGACTTTGAGCATGTTGTTTCATCAGAATATTCTCTAAAAAAATAAGTTACACAACCAAATGAACAGCATCGAATAAAAATCAAATCAGAAATGTTAGGATTAGTGTGACTGTGAAAATTTAACAATAAAAGTATGAGCTCTATGTATAAATATATCAACTGAAATCTTTCATTCATTCATGACCCTGATAGTCCTTCCAAAGTGTTTGTGTAATTTGCTTTGGTTTAGTGTTGTACTTCTTTAATTATTAATCAGTTAATATAATTGACCAGTTATAATTTTCGATAATCATCATAATTACACTGTAATTATCGTCTTTACAATTCACATATCTTCATATCAATCGACTGGACAAGTGTCTATGGTGTTTCTGACCGGTAAATCATTTTCATCTTCCTGTTCTTAACTAATCTTTAGGTCTGTTGTTACTTGAAATTGCTCAACACCGTATGATGTAATTTTTTTTTGAAATTCCATAGACTCACGTATTTATTAAGTGACCGTGGATCGTACAGCTTCAGTACATGACATTATGGAAGAGGAGATTTCCTTTACAGAACTACGAGTTTCTTGTTCGTGAGTTGTTAATCATCATAGTTGTTATGACTTGAGGTGTTTATCGATATAATGTGCTGATTTCACAAACCAGGATTCTGTTTATGAATTTTTCTATGTATTTCGTCTACTATTCTTTCTTTAGCTGAGTTTCCTAGACAGTTAAACTTGATCCAACATAAGTCCTAATGTTCCACATATCCGAGTGCTTCTGAGTAAACATCGGTTCCGATGATTAGACTACTCATAAGTAGCTAAGCCAAGACAACAAAATAAATTGGTGACAAAAAGTTTCAAATTCTCTCTCTGTACATATACATATAGTGGTACCGATTATTCATGGAAAACAGCTTACTAGTATACTGGGGATTCACTTTTAAGCTTGAGTTCTACAATCAGCATGTCTAGAGTGGTAATATATAAAGAAACAATGAATCTAGTTTGTATGGTAAGCTAAGGTAATGCCTTTAGTGAATTTGATTGGTTTGTCAATGCAGAAGCTATGGTCAAATATTTAGTTGATCATTTCATAAAAGAGATGACAATCAGTTGTTTGAAGTTTATGTGAGGCATTATATATATTCTTCTAAGAAGTTCGAACTAGTATGAAACCAGTCAACTGATACAGATCGTTATACATCAAGATATAATACTTGCGATGTAAAATTATTTAGTCTGGATCGAAATCTCATCGGTGTTATTAGATCCGAAATTTCATCTACAAAAATGTGGTATTTGATCATTTAATAAAGAAGCCTCATTTTAATGATTTATGTTGGCTTAAACATAGTGTGTACTATCTTACAGACAAAGTATTGTGTTACCCACCATTAGTTTTTCGAATTCATTCTAATGAATTCACATGACTTGCGTCATCTGCTGTTAAATCCAATACATGTATGAAATACAGTGCTCAATGGTCTCGAGGTCAAGCGTTGGTGAAGAAGACTAAACGTCCTGGATTCGATCTGCTATTATCATATCATGGATGTTTAGTAGCCCTGTATCTGACTCCAAGTAGGTCGTATGAATTATTTTTATTGAAATACATATGTTGGTTATCGTCGTATATAATTATCGACTTAAATCGCGTTAGTGACCCGATCTACCAATTTTGGGGAAAGGGCACTAAACCTTAAAATTTCCCTTAAACCTTAGTGGAGGTCATTTGACTTTGGGGATTTCCCTAAAATTTCCCCAAACTTGGGAGATTCAATGAATAACGAAATCACATAAGTCAAGGACGAGAATGGGTTTTTGAATACATATATTATGTACACTCGGTGATCTGGACAGGCAATCAGAGGGAGGAAGCAAAGAAACGGAAGAGAAAAGGGTGATGCGAACCGACGCGCAGTGGAGAATACATGTGAGCCAACTCGTTTTAATCAAACGTTAATCGATCTTTATAGTCACATAAAAATAAGCTATAGATGTGTGATGAGTAGGATATGATGTACATACACATTTGTTCATATAATAACAGTCAAGATTGATAAGTGAATGATTAACAAGGTCGACATGTAGCTTGAGTAGCCTGAATAAATTGGTTTGTCCAGAAGCTAGTAGGCTGGAAACAAGACTAGACACTACAGATGCACACTTCCGTGGAGTCACATACTAAGATGAAACAGTTATCCATTGCTTCCTGATTATCGCATGGTTGTTTAACAAAAATCATTCTATGATGTTTGCTGTCAATGATTGTTACATATTTCAGAATAGATGGATGCAAAATGATGGTAGCCTAATTGTATCAAAATGCTGAAAACTATTGTCAGTTACATAT